TTTTAAATAAATAAATGAACAAAAAATCAATAAAATAAATACAGAAAAAAATAAAAAATAAAAATATATACAGCAAAATAAAAAGAATCAATAAAAATAAAAGAAATTAAAAAACAAAATGTATAAAATATACAATATACATACGTAATACACAAGCTGATGGATTTCATTTCACATTTACCGCAACAATATTCTCACCCTAATGAGGCAATCCTGAAGCTTCGGTGGCCTTTGCCGCTGGCGCTTGGCTAATGGCTGGCCTTCCACACACTCTCGACTCGCACATCCGTCATCGGGGCACGCGGAGCAGGTGACGCCCCCGGCTCGGTGTGTTTATGCGCCATTATTAACACGTCATAACTTGGGGCCGGCAGTTGCCGAAAACTTGGCATATTACAGAGGCCAGCGAGGAGCGCCAAGAGTTGCCATCAATCACGACGACGGCGAGAGTAGAGAGTCGAAAAGGATAAGCAAATGACGACGCAGCCAAGGCCAAGGGGGAAGGGGTAACGGGGCAACGGGGCAACGGCTGAGCTGAGCAGGAGTTGTAGGTGCTGGAGTCAGGGCGTTTATTTATGCATAACACGATGCTGGGGCTGCCGCAGCAGCATGACGGGGGCGTGGCCATTGCCACAAAGTGATTTTAAATGGGGGCGCAGGCCCTCAAATTTGACGATGCTCTCGTTGATGATGACGTCTGCCACCTGACGTGCGAGTCCTGCCAGGGAACTGGCGCTGCCCTAACGGCTGCCCGGTCGGTTAACAGGTTGATGGCCACTCAAATGGCGCACAAGAAAAAACGTAAAATGCAACGAAAAACTCTTAATTGAATGGAAGAGTGAAAATAGAACAGCACGAAATGTCTTAGCAAGCAGAGCGTGGAGAGTGTTTTCGACTAGGAAATACCCAGCATCAAGTTTAGACAAGTTTACAAACTCTTGAGCATTTTTTTTTTTTGGTTTATTGTGACATCTTTGAGATTTATGGGCTTGAGAGCATACAAAAGCTAAACAATAGACATCGATTTGCTTTTATAGAAAAAAAAAAACAAAAAACAATTTGTATAACTTGTTGAGTTTATTTGACTTGCTGTAAATATTCTTGACTATACGAATATGGAATGAGCAAACTAGAACTTGATGTATATATAGATAAATACAGAATCGTGCATCTAAGGGCATCTAAGAATCGGGAATCTAAGCGTAATTTATGGGTGTACTTGAAAATAAATACAGTAGAATCCGGCAATAACGACTCCGCTTGATACGTCCGTAGAATTTTTGCGGCGAAAATTCTGATTCCCAGACAAACTTATGTGATTTTATATATGAGCACACTTATATGGTTACGCGTCTTCCGGATATAACGACGGTCCATTCGGTATAAACGAATTCTACTGTATAGATTATCATCAGATTCTACTGTATATATAAACGTGTTTGCTGCTTTGTCCCTCTGTGTATCATTTGAAGTTCCGTTCTCGATAATCACTCAACACTCTTAATTAGAATCAATAGTTTAATAGACTTGCTTATTTCTCGCTTTATTCATCTCTCTCTCTCTCTTTATCTCTCTATCTCTCTCTATTTCTCTCTTTCTCTCTCTATCTCCTTCTATCTCTAGTACTCCCTGTCAATATGGTCTTTGTCATCATATGATATATGATACAGATATAAAGACAAGCTTGAAAGTAAAATTAGTAAAAAAAACTCTATTTCGACAGATTCTATAAATGCTTTATTACATTTACTATGTATATACATGCTCGACAATATATATGTTTTCCTATTATACCTACCTATTGTATACTTACACAGAGGCTGAACAATTTGTCGCTTGATTTACGAGCGGAGCTCTTAATACCATCTGAAGATCGACACCGACAGAGGGAGAGGCAGCTAAGGCCAGCTGAAGATCAAGTCAAATATATCTGTATAATCATATTTTATGGGGCGGCGGCCATTGGGGGCGTGTCTATCAAAATATTTTAATCGTGATCTTAAGCCATTGATGCGGCCTTCAAAGCTGAGATTTATGAACACAATAATTACAAAAAAAAAAAAAAAAAAAATTACTAATTGATTTATTGTCGAATGTATAAACACCTTTTGCTTAATTTATGCTGCTGTTGTTGTTGCATTAAATACCGGTTAGATGTAGAGGCCTGGCCAAAATAAAAGAGAAGAAGAAGAAGAGCAAGAAGAATGTATGCATTAAGCCAAGGCGGAGCCATGCAGCAACCTGTGAGCCAAAGCAATCAGCCGAGCGACGTTTGGGCAATGGGCGCACATTTCGATGATGTACGATGAATGTCCTGGCACACACACACACACTGACAGACAGACAGACACACACACGCACACACAAACCGTTCATTATAAAGGAGTCAGGTCGTCAGGTGAGCAGCGCTGGCAACGGCCAGCCAAGACCCCAGGCGAAAAGACGCAAATTAATTATTAATCAACGAAACGCAGACGCAGACGAAGAGGCAGAGGCAGAGCAGCAGGAGGGGGAGCTGAAGTTGAAGGAGGATCGGCTAAGCGATCAAGCCGGGTCCAAGGAGTGATTTATGCCCAGGCAACCGCCAAAGCTAACGAATCGCACATTCTGACGCTGTGCCAAGATGGACGACGATGCCAAATGACGAGGGCCTCATGCTTCATGCCTCATGCCTCATGCTTCATGCCTCATGCAATGCAATCAAGCCGAAACCAACACTCAGCCGCAGCAGCCGAAGCAGCAGCAGCAGCAAAAACAGCTCAAATACACTGCAAGAAATTTGTCGATATAGGAGAGCGAATCTGTCTGTCCGTGGGGACGGTAAAACTTTCAGCTTGGAATATTCCAATTGGAATTTCTGGCAATTGACTATGGGACTTAATATTCAAGCTGCCATGAAGTGGAATTGGAATGCGAAGCACAGTGTAAGAAAGTCTCTTACTCACTATTGTCGCGCTCTATCACAAATAAATCTCTGTGAATTGAAAACGAATCTCTAAGAGAGATTATTAGAGATTATTAGAGATTTTTAATATATTATTATTATATTATTATCATATTTAGAGGTCTGTCTCTTCAGTTTTATGTCTCTCTGCCAGTTATTAACTTTTACTCTCTCTCTCTCTCTCTCTCTCCCTCTCCATGTCTATCTTTCACAAACCTTTATATGCAAACAGAGAGTTGGATTTTCTTTATCCCACCTTCTCTTCTCTCTCTCTCTCTCCCTCTCTAACAGACACTTACTATCTCCCTCTTTGTCTCTCTCTCCCTATCTGCTCACCTCTTTTTCTTTTTCCTTCTACTCCATCTTTTTCTCTCACTTTAATCTTATACATATGTATTTATAAGTATTTTTATGGAGTCTCACTCTCTTGTTGCATATATTTCATGCTCAACTTTTTCTTTCAGTGCATTGGGCATGCGAACAGCGATTGCGCATGTTGAGCTGTTCTTGCTGCACATCTTGAAGGCCCAACTGCCGGTTCCCTCCCATATCAGTCAGGCCGCGGTACGTCACTCAGTCAACGAATGCGAATGCGAATGCGAATGGGAATGCGAATACCTGTGCTCTCTGCCCCATTCTCTATGCTGCACATGCAATGGCTAGGCTTCGTTTGGCTTGGCTTGGCTTGGCTTGACCATGGCCTCGCCTCCTTCTGTACAGGATCCGCATGCAATACGTATATGGACGATATGGTCAGCCTTGCCCCTTGGACATTGCCCCGTGCCACAGGCAGCCTCTGCTGCTGCCAGAGAATTGAGAATTGCGAATCAGAAATGCCAGAATTGAAATCGCATTTTAAATCATTTTGCGCTCTGCCGTCTGCTCTGCCCGGCGCACATGATTCACAGTCACAATCGCCTCAAATCTCGAATAACAAATCGCATAATTACGGGGCAAACGGCTGTCCAAGCAACAGGCCAACGCCAACTCCAGCTCCAACTCCAACTCCAGCTCCAACTCCAACTCCAGCTCCATCTTGCCATCCAGCCTGAAGCTGGGCGAATGCTGTGCGATGGCGCAGATATGAAATATTTTAGCTAAATGGCAGCCAAAGAAAATAAAAATGTGGGATTGAAGCGTATAAATCAACGCCGCACCGCTGCCAGCCCGAGCTCACTCAGCCAGCCAGCCGGGCAGAGCGAAAGAGAGAGGGAGAAAGAGAGAGAGAGAGAGCCAATCCTCTGTCTCACATCTCAGCTTCGTCCAGTCTTCACTCAGAGTCGCTGGAGCGCGGCTTCATTAATATGTATGTGAATCTGTGGCATAAAATCAACCCGAGGCGATAAATTGAAACGATTTCGCAGTGAACACGCAATTAGTTCTAGTCTCATATGAAACATGCACAAAACAAAAACAAGAAAAACATGCAGAACATAAAAGACATTAAAAAATCCAAGATGAAACCAAGAAATTTTACATCAAATTGCAGTTGAGACATTTGAGAAATCATCTTCGAGCTATGCAAAGTGCTTCTTCTCTTCTTCTTGTTCTTCTCCTTTGGCTAATGACTGAGGATGTTTCCTCTTAAAGATTTTATTGCTATAATTATCATTGATATGCGAATTGATTTACCTGTTTGCACAGATGTGGCTTTTATGACTCCAATTGATTTTCCACTCGGAGTTTCAATTAGCTTGGAGTTGGAGCTGGAAGAAGTTATTAAACTGAAACTATTTTGATATGGCATTTAATCAACCGTACTCTTAAATTTATAAACAATTTTTAAATGTACTCATATGTAATAAATTTATTTTTATTAAACTCTCAATAATGCAGTGTATAAGTTTTTAATTTCTAATCAGAAATAAATATACTGTGCATGTGTATGATTGAGTATTTTTTTAATTTCAATGTATGCATTTATAATCAATAAACTGAATATGAATTTATTTAAATAATTACTTAAGCGACAGTATTTTACATTATCTTATTTTATCTTAATTATTCATTAACCAAGTATACTATTTATATTAAGAGCAACTACAGGGTCAAGTCAGTTAGCGTTTTCTTACATTGAGTATGTTTGCTCTTGCACTCAACAATACAGCACTTAGTCCGCTCTCAGCACAGTCGAATTCGATTTCGACTAAAAGCCACTCAAATGCTCTCACGCGCTCAGTGCGCATTCGAATTTCGAAATCGACAACGCGGCGCTCTCAGCACTCACGCTCTCGCGGCAGCTGCTTTTCGAATTTCGACCACCAGCTGTTGAGCGTCAAATGACGCACGTTGGCGAAAAGTGCGCTGTGCACAAATTCAGTGAATATAAACTATAAAAACAGTTTAAAAATGTAAGCAGATTGAAAAAATTAATGAAAAATAAGTAAATGATAATTGATAAATGAGTGATAAGTGATTCATAATTGATAAGTGAATCGAGATGAAAAGTGAAACCTCAAGGCATGATCGCCTCGCTTGAAAATATCCGATTACCTTAGCACTTTAAGGTAAGTGAAGCATAATAGTGTAGATAACACCCTAAGCCTTTGTGCTTACACAATTACAGTTTATATATCAATACATATAATATAAAAGACATCTGCTACTTTGTATTTGTCTAAAATTATTGCATTTGATTTGCACAAATTTGGACGCTTGTTGCAATTGCTGGCGTCTTCGAAAAGCAGCCCGCTCACAATCAGCTGATTTACGTGGTCGGCTCTCATTTCGATATTTGCCGCTCAGAGAGTTACTCTGGTCGTTGTGTGAGTGCGAAATGTTATTCGAACTCGAATTTTGAGTCGTTTGCTTTGTAACGTGCTCTTGAGTTTAACCTGGCCGTTGAATGATGAAATTTGTTTACAAATTTAAAATTAAATTAAAATAAATGTAAAATATTTTAAAATTGTATATGTACATATTATATAAAAATAAAAATAAAATATAATGCAAAATAGTAAAATTGAACATAGTAAAATTAAATGTATTTTTAAATTAAATATAAAATTATAATATAATATTTTATATTAATATATTTTTCTCTTGAGGAAATTTTGTACGTTGATTAACTTTAGCCAGTTGCAAAAATGATCGATATATTCAATTGTACCATAATAATGTGCTTCACCACTTTAACAAGCAGCAACATAAAGAAAAAAACTCGTTTTACCGTTTTTGTTTTCTTTTTCAATTTGTTCATTGCTTCCCTCTTCGCTAGGGCGGAGCAGCGTTTGTGTGTATTTAGATGTGTTCGACTCTTCCACCATTCGTTGTTCAACTACCTCGCTCGCTCGCTCATACGCGCGCAACATCCATTCATCCGCCTGTCAATCAATCACCTGTCAACTTGGCCACGCTCACTGGTCCACACAAACACACAGACACAATCACTGCCCGTGTAGCGCGCAGAGCAATGGCAGCTCGAAATTCGAATATGAGCAACCATCGCTAAAAACTCATTCGTATTGGATGGAGTATTTTTCGCTTGCTCTCTTTTTTCGAATAATTGAGTCGTTTTTTTTTTATACCTTGTAAATAGTGAGCTGCATTAATATATTTATTAAATATATAAATATAATTTTTAATGAAATATATTTATTTTTTTATATATTCTTTGAATAATTAATACTAACATGTGAAAAATAAGTATAATAGCTATCTATTTCTATTTAATTTAGGTAGGTGCAGGGTATAAATAATACCGACGCAAAAATAATAGAGTATTCATTACAAAATATGTAGTACAAAATACTGTCAAATAAATGTACATACATATATTATTAAATAATATTTCATTTCATGACAGCTTTACAGTTTTCCATACTATTTAAAGTTATTTCAATATTAAGTTCCTGAAAATCAAAATATATATGTATGTATATATATTTATGGATATGCCATCATAACAAACGATAAAAATGAATGGGAAATGGGATTTGAATTTGTTCATATGAAGGACATTTTACCGTTAGGCCCAAATCTCATTTGAGCAATTTTGCAATTTTAATCAGCTTTATCTTTATGTGAATGGCGCGGGGAGTGGGTGGGCATGACGACAGGGTCCCATACCAGATGGTTGTTGTTGCCGATGTTGTTGTTGCTGCTGCTGCTGCTGCTGCTGTTGCTGTTGCTGTCATAAATCTATCAAGTTTAATGGCCGCCTCAGCGCTGCACATAATTTTATGTATTTTATGCTGCAAATGGTAGCCGAAATGCGCACAAATCAGCAGCATCAACCCTCGATCTGGGCAGCCAACCCAAACCACCCGCACAGCAGCTCACCCACACCCACACACATACACACACACAGAGTCGAGCTGAGCGAAGCGCACGAATTTCACGCACATCTCAGAAGACTCACAAATTTCATAAAGTGGCAATTCAATCAATCAATTCTGACAGCAGCCACCCCAAGCTTTAGGGGGGGGCGGCTTGGGCCGTCGAGTGCACCCTGGACGTGGGTTAAGCGTCTAGCTTGGCCATTTTACCGTTATGCTCACGTACACAATCACACAACTCAGCTGAAAAAAGGAGGCGGGGTGTGGGGTGAGTTGGGGCCGGCTGCAGAAACAAAGCAAAATTATGCATAAATTTTCTTGACCCTCAAACCGAGGCGAAAAGGCAAGTTTTGTCTTCGGGCGCTGCTTCATTCACTCAGTCAGTCAGTCAGCCATTTGGCAGTTTAAATATTTTTTAATTGCCTTTTGTGGCACTCGACCTGCAGGAAGAAGAGGAAGAAGAAGCAGCAGCAGATACCCATTAACCTGGCCAAGCAACCCAAGCAGCAAAACAAAAACAACAATAAAATTGCCAGCCCTCCCTTTGCCCTTCCTTTTGCGTTGGTTATCGCAGTTTTTGCTTTGCTGTTATTATCCTTATTTATTTGTGTTTCGCTTCTGTTTCATTGCGCCTTTTCAGCAGGAGGGTTTTTTCAATAAATTCCCAAAAAGCAAAAAAAAAAAAACAAAGAAAACCAAAAACATTTAGACAAAGGCGCTGAAATAGAAACAGTCCTAGAAGGGGTTTTTGGAATAGGTTTTCCCTGGCCCAGCTGAAAGGGGCCATCAATTGCGTTAGTTGCTGTGGTAATAGAGATTGTAGTAACGGTATTGAAACTACTTGTTTATACAGATATACAACAGATGGAATTACCAGGCGTTGCACGATAAAACGGTATTTATATATTTATAATTTATTTATATATGTATATAAAAATTTATAATTTATAATTTCAACATAGAATATATTCTTTCTATGTGTTTACTTCTGTATATATTTTCTATTATGAAAAAATGTATATATTTATTTATATACCTTAATAATATTTTTTATCATGTATATTTTATAGCAACTTCTAAAGAAGTTTCATCCTGAATTTCTCCCTTTTGATTGAACGTTTGCAAACTTTATGACAGACAGGAAAAGTTTGTTAAATTTACTAAACGTAGCTTGAGCAGAAAATCAATAGTTTTAAGCCCCCGAATTGGCATTGGCAGTGGCTGAGCCCGGGGCAGGTGTAGCTAACGAAAAGTAGGAGCTGCTGTCGGTGCAGGGACACGAACATTTTCCAATTTCCAATTTCCATAGCCCAGCTATCCAATTTGCTAGCGAAAACGGAGGCTTATTAAAATAGATTGTTCGAATTAAGGTGCAAAGTAAATGAGCGCAGGAAACGAGTTGAGTGGGCGGTGGGTGGGATTGGAGATGTGGGATGGGGGTTTGGGGATTGGTAGTTGAGGCAATTACGAAATGATTGAATGGTAATTTCAGCAGAAAACTTTGCGCCGCCCTTTTGTGTTGCGCGGGGCAGACGGGGCGCGGTTGGAGGCGCACAGTTTATGCCAGGCATAAATTCCCATTATTTATGGGGCCGTAACTGTTTGTGATATTTTATTTCGCGCAAGGATAGCAAGGATAATTTGCGCCCAGTGCGTTCACCAACTTAACAAAGAAAAAGCGTCGTGAATGTTTGGAATTAATTGCCCAATCCGCTCGCCAGGATTACCCCCCAAACCCACCCAACCGCCCCACTGCTACTTGCTCTGGCCAAATGTTCAGAAATGGAAATCACAAACAGGAAAAAAATTGTTTTAATTAATAAATTGAATGTGTGCGAAAATTGAAAGGATTTTTGCCGCTTGGCAGAGGCACCTCATTTGCCACAAGCCAGAGTTGTTGCTCTCATTACTGTTGTCGTCCATGTTGTTGTTGTTGTTGTTGTTGTTGTTTGTATTGTTGAAGCATTCATCTTGGGCTCTCATTTGCAGGCGACGCTCATTTTGTATGCAAATGATTTATGCCAAAAAGTGCTTGGCAGCCAGCGAAACTGGATTAGATTGTGCCAGTCGAGCCGAGCGAGCGAGCGAGTCATTCCCTATGCAAAAGCGCCAAGTCCAACCAGAAAGCCCAACACCTCCAGGAGCCACTCCCGGGCAATGCCAGAAACTTTGGACTCCCCTACGATATTTGCCGGCACTCGCGAGTGTCTAGGCGCAGGACATGGGGCCTGAGGCTGGGGGCGGGGGTGGAGCTGGGATTGTGTACGGCCTTTGTGAAGCTTTTAAAAATATTTACTTAACATCCTATTATCCCTGCAACGCAATGAGACGCGGACAAGCGGACGAATGGACGAGCGAGCGACCCTCGCTTGTATCAACATTAAAACGATAAACTTGCCAGAGACCAGCGGCAGTGCGCAAAAAAAAAAAAAACATGAAAATGCTAAGGACGAAGGACACGTCTTGTCTGTCACACCAAAATGTCACCGCGGGGTGAAATACTGGCAGGACAAAAATGCAAACAACAACAAATAAAAAGACAACAGCAACAACAAAAAGAAACGAAAAACAAAGACGGCATATTGCACTAATGCAAAGCAGCTCGACTCACAATATACCCTGCAATTAGAGAATATATACACCTAGTGCAACATTGATAGTCAAATAATAAATACATAGAACTACAGGTATATAAAAATAAAAAAAATAAAAATTTATATTGATTAAAATATATTTAAAATAAATAATAATTAAAAAACTAAATTAATCTAGACAGCAGCAAACACACTCAGCCATTAACAGTCGCCTTCACAGGGTATTAAGAACAGCGCAAAAAGAATGGACAAAAATCTCCAAAGCAAAATGTGAAACAAAAGCGCGTGCTAGCTCGAGCTGCGTAAGTGTTGAGTGCAAGCGGGACAACAATAGAGCGAGAGAGTGAGAGTAGGTTGGTCACATAGAGCGCAGGCTGGTGGGAGAGGGACACGCGCTCCCAGCGCAAACAAACGGAACATGCGACGCGCAAAGAGTGCGCGAGCAGGACTACAGCCTGAGTGAGTGAGTGAGCGTGAGCGTCAGCGTGAGTGAGATAGAGAGCGAGAAGGCAAATATGCCAAGCGTGTGAGTGATTTATGGCGCTGCGAGTGACGAGGACGAACCAGAATTCTTCAGGATAATGCCGACATAACGAGATTGTTTTATGTACACATTTTCTCCTTGTTACTGTTGTT